GGACAAAAAGGCATCTTTCAAGAAGTGGAAGTCTAATCCTAGTGAGATAAATAGAAAGAAACATAAACACTGTCAAATCAAGTGTAAAAATGTAATAAGAAAAGCAAAAAAAGATTTTGAGGAAAAGCTAGCCAAAAACTCAAAAAGAAATAGCAAAATGTTTTTTAAATACATTAGAAGCAGAATGCCTGCTAAAAAACCTGTGGGTCCCCTAGATGATCGAGATATAAACAGAGCAATCAAGGACAATAAAGCCATTGCAGAGAAACAAAATGATTTCTTTGCTTCAGTCTTCACGGCTGAGGATGTTAGGGAGATTCCCAAATCTTTGTGGGTGATGAATCTGAAGAGTTGTCCTGGATTGAAGTGTTATTAAGAGGAGGTTTTAGAGCAAATAGAAAAAGAACTCAAATGGGAAATTGCTGAGCTATTATCTGTGGTTTGTAACCTATCCTTTAAATCAGCTTCCGTACCTAATGACTGAAAGGTAACTAATGTGACACCATTATTTAAAAAGGGCTCCAGAGGCGATCCTGACAATTACAGACCAGTAAATCTAACTTCAGTACCGGGCAAATTAATAGTAAAGAATAAAATTGTCAGGCATGTAGAAGAACATAATGTGTTGGACAAAAGTCAACATGGTTTCTGTAAAGGGAAGTCATGTCTTACTAATCTATTAGAGTTCTTTGAAGGGGTTAACAAACATGCGGACAAGGGAGATCCAGTAGATATAGTATACTTAGATTTTCAGAAAGCCTTTTACAAGTTCCCTCACCAAAGGCTCTTGTGTAAATTACATTGTCATGGGATAAGAGGGAAGGTCCTTTCATGGATTGAGAACTGGTTAAAAGACAGGAAACAAAGGGTAGGAATAAATGGTAAATTATCAGATTGGAGAGGGGTAACTAATGGTGTCCCCCAAGGGTCAGTCCTAGGACCAATCCTGTTCAACTTATTCATAAATGATCTGGAGAAAGGGGTAAGCAGTGAGGTAGTAAAGTTTGCGGATGATACAAAACTGTTTAGGATAGTCAAGACAGACGCAGACTGTGAAGAACTTCAAAAGGATCCCACCAAACTGAGTGATTGGGCAACAAAATGGCAAATGAAATTTAATGTGGATAACTATAAAGTAATGCACGTTGGAAAAAATAACCCCAACTATACGTACAGTATGATGGGGGCTAATTTGGCTACGACAAATCAGGAAAGAGATCTTGGCATTATCGTGAATAGTTCTCTGAAAACTTCCACACAGTGTGCAGCAGCGGTCAAAAAGGCAAATAGGATATTAGGAATTATTAAGAAAGGGATAGAAAATAAGACCCAGAATATCTTACTGCGCCTGTATAAAACTATGGTACGCCCACATCTTGAATACTGTGTACAGATGTGGTCTCCCCACCTCAAAAAAGATATTTTGGCCTTGGAAAGGGTTCAGAAAAGGGCAACTAAAATGATTAGGGGTTTGGAACGGGTCCCATATGAAGAGAGGTTAAAGCGACAGGGACTTTTCAGTTTAGAAAAGAGGAGACTAAGGGGGGATATGATAGAGGTATATAAAATCATTAGTGGTATGGAGAGGGTGAATAAAGAGAAGTTATTTATTAGTTTCCATAATAGAAGAACTAGAGGACACCAAATGAAGTTAATGGGTAGCAGGTTTAAAACTAATAAAAGAAAGTTCTTCACACAGCATGTAGTCAACCTGTGGAACTCCTTGCCAGAGGAGGCTGTGAAGGCTAGGACTATAACAGAGTTTAAAGAGAAGCTAGATAATTTTCTGGAGGTTAGGTCCATAAAAGGCTATTAGCCAGGGGATAGAAATGGTGTCTCTGGCCTCTGTTTGTCAGAGGCTGAAGAAGGATGGCAGGAAACAAATCACTTGATCATTGTCTTTGGTCCACCCCCTCTGGGGCACCTGGTGCTGGCCACTGTCGGCAGACAGGCTACTGGGCTAAATGGACCTGTGGTCTGACCCAGTACGGCTGTGTTTATGTTCTTATGTTCTTTGTAACAGTAGGTGCACCCCAATTCCTAGTCTCTTTGATTCATTCTCCTGTAATATCTAGCCCATGACACTGACTGCTCACAGAAATCCCTCCCTGAGGGAGCCAGGTTTACCAGTTTTACCTTAAATCGCCACTTTTGTGAGTGCTTACAATAAAACAAAAACACATTTATTTAAGAAAGAATAAAGTTTTATCTAGAAGCAAGAGAGTGTGATGTAAATAAATGTTTACAAAATGAAATTAAATCATAAAATTTGAACCTTGGTCTATACTTACCTCTTTTGGCCTAACAGAGTAGATTTCCCCCATCCTCCAAAGTTCAGTCTCTTGCATAATTGGCTGATTTCTCAAGAATCAAGATCCATATGTTCATGAAAGCACTCCCCCGTCGACAGGTGGTTTAGTCAGTGAATGAATAGTGCTTCCTCCTCCTCATCATACTGGAAATAGCCTTTTGTTTCTGTATCACAGACAAAGCAAACCCCTTGTAAATCTCCCTTTTTAAATCTTAAAGTAGTTTCAACAGTTTGTATTTACTTCTGAAGGTTTAGTATTGCACATGGTTAAGCTTTGCAAAACTAAACAAGACGGGATGACAATTCCAGCTTTCCCAAGGCACATTGTCTTCTGATGACTAATTTCTACTCCAAGTCCGTAAAGCATATTTTCAATATTAATACATATTCCTTCAATATTACCTGCATGCACTTCTCACAATGATCAAGAATCTTGACAAGCTTTTTGTAGCTATCTTCTACACTTTACTTTTTGGCTATGTCTAGACTGAAAGCCTCTTTCGAAAGAGCCTCTTTCGAAAGAGATCGTCTAGACTGCACATTGAACTTTCGAAAAAGCGGCTTGCTTTTTCGAAAGAAAGCATCCAGTGAGTCTGGATGCTCTCTTTCGAAGAAGCCCTATTTACATTGAAGAACGCCTTCTTTCGAAAGAGGAACTTTCGAAAGAAGGCGTTCTTCCTCGTGAAATGAGGTTTACCGCCATCGAAAGAAAAGCCGCGTTCTTTCGATTTAATTTCGAAAGAACGCAGCTTGAGTCTGGACGCAGGGGAGCCAAATGCACTTCACATGTTTGTTTGGTTTGTGAGTTTGTCTGGTCTGAAGTGAGTGCTGTTTGCAAAGAATGTGGGTTCCATGTAGGCTTACCACATTTGAGGTTTCTAGAAAGAGGAGAGAAAGGGACATTAAAGAGGGGGTTCACTTGGGGGAACTGGCAGTGATATTTAGGGGGGTACTAGAGAGATGTATATGTGTTGGGAAGGTAACCTAAGGGTCCTGGAGGGCATACCTGTGGCAACGGATACTCAGTGGAGGCGGGAAGCAGTATCATTCCCTGTCAAGGCAGCAAGATGGCTAGTGTGCGCTCAGGACCCAGCACCAGCTTTCAGTCAGTATCTCCCTTGTAGGCCTTCTCACAGAGCTGGGAACTAGAGCAGCAGGAGAATGGACCAGTCAGCTGGGGAGGTAGGGAGGGACCAACTGGAAAGCAGATTAATTGGGGCTGTTTCTGAGCTTTAAATTCTGTTCTGCAGAAACCCCAGACTTTGACTCTTTATCACAGAAATTCACCTTCATGAAGAGCAGACTACCAAAAAAGAGATCATGTCCAATAAAGCCAACCCTATCTCCATCTCATGCAGGGGTGCAACTCCAATGCCCAAGTTGTGATGCCTTGAAATATGTGGAGAGCTGAATGATTTAGGGCTGGTTCTAAAACCAGCGCCGACTCTATTGCTGCTTAATGTGTACTTTTAAAGTATTGTGCCCTGCTCCCAGGGCCTGCTGGTAGATCTACCCCTGGTTCTCTGCAAGATTTCATTGGCTAGTCCAAAAGGATAAAAAGCAGATATAGACTATGACTAATTTCTGGGCATGTTTCCTGGACAGTAAGGGCTCCCTCTTCACTCTGCTAAACAATGCATAATCTCATATGTTCAAAGAGAAAAGGAATCCAAAAGCAACTATTGTTGTATTGTCATTTGTAAATAACAGGTTTTCCTTAGCAATAGCCACTTCTTTTTTGTATGAAGAAAAATGCAATGTGTATGGGACACAAAGTCAGAAACAGAACTAGAGGATTTAAATAAGAGCTTTTGTAGGCTGATTTTATTTCCACCGTGGTTGGATACTGCCCAAGCAATACAAGTACCAGAGATGTATACAATTCACGGTTGACTAAATTAAAATATATTTGTGCTTCAGTATGCAGCTAATTGAAACTGGTTCTATAATTGTCTTTTCAGATAATTGTTTTACAAAGTTCCTACATTTTGAAAAGTTTTGTTAGTAAGCAGTAATTTAGGAGGAAATAGGTTTTTAAGAATAGCTACAGAAAATTATTTAGGGCTAGATTGTGATTTGAAGTACATGCCTGTGCAACAGATAAAACAAATGAGAATAACCCCTTTAAATCTCTGCGTGGTCTGTCTGGACCTTTCATACAGGCACACATAGCAATAAGTAAGTCCTATATACCTACTTACTCCCTCTTCAGGATATGTAATGATAAATGAGTGAGGGAGGGGCAGAATCGTATCTATGCTACCAACTCCTTGGCCAGTGCAACTAGAGCAGGGTGTATTACAGTTAGTTAGCTGCTGATGTTGATGTTCCACCCAGAGAAAGGATGAAGCAGGAAGATTTGTGACTGGAAAGTGTCCTAGGGTGATGCAGCTCAGGGATGTGCCTGAGCTGAGTTTTGAGCACACTCTGGTAGTTCTGATTGTCCTAATCTCACAGTGACTACTGGAGGAAATCCGGATGTTTTCTTCCTTTTAGGACCAAACCTTATAGTAGAGTCGCACTTAGGAACAAAGCCTTGTTCTTTGCATTTGGTCCATATGGCCTGTTCCTGCTTTACCAAAATTATAAAGTACAGATTATGGCAGCAATAATATCTGTAGATAAGCAAACCTTTCATTTCGTTACTGTGTTTTGCTACCTTCATTCTAGCTAAATCAAGAGCCATATACTTTTCAAAAGCAACAGTGGTTAAAAGTTGATGGCCTGATTTTCAGAGTTATTGGTTCCCTACCACTCCTGTTGAGTTCATTGGAAGCCAAATGTATCAGTCCCTCTGAAAATCAACCCTTACCCATGCACACTCTGTCTCTGCAAGGCTGTTGATGTGTAAATGCTTAGTGGATGCATGGTAAAAATCATGAATATGGCCGTGCATCAGAAGACTTTTTTAACGTGGGACTTGAAATATTTGTGTGTTCTGTGCTAGGCTTCTGAAGTAAATAACAGTACTATAAGATTTGCTATTAAATAGTTTTATTCTAAATAGGGGGATAGTGCCCCCCAAAGTAACTACATTTCAGCTCATTTGAGACCATGATTTTCTTTGTTTGATTTCAATCATTCTTGAAAAATAAAGAATTAATGATATGTGCAGTATATTAACTTGATTGTATGGTATTATTTTTAGCCTTACCCAAACCTCCGGGAACTCCTGTGGTGACAGAAAGCACAGCAACAAGCATAACATTGACTTGGGATTCCGGGAACCCCGAGCCAGTCTCATACTACATAATCCAGCATAAACCTAAAAATTCTGAGGAACTGTATAAAGAAATTGATGGTGTGGCTACAACACGGTATAGTGTTGCAGGTCTAAGCCCATATTCAGAATATGAATTCAAGGTAGTTGCTGTTAATAATATTGGACGGGGCCCACCCAGTGAACCAGTGTCAACAAGGACCTCAGAACAAGCACCATCTAGTGCACCTCGCAGTGTACAGGCTCGTATGTTGAGCTCAACTACAATTTTGGTACAATGGGAAGAACCCGAGGAACCAAATGGCCAAATTCAAGGATACAGAGTTTATTACACCATGGACCCCACCCAACATGTTAATAACTGGATGAAACACAATGTGGCTGACAGCCATATCACCACTATTGGAAATTTAGTACCACAGAAAACATACTCTGTGAAGGTTCTTGCTTTTACTTCTGTCGGGGATGGACCCCTTTCTACTGACATTCAAGTCATCACTCAGACAGGAGGTAAGACTGCAATATGGTGGAATGAACTAGAAACCTCTAGAAAATGGGAAGTGAGTAAGTGAGCAAGCGAGGGGATTTCTACACTAGGAAATTATTTCAAAATAATAAAATCGAAATGACAAAATAACAAAAAAATCAAAATAGTGAGTATCCAGTATGGGGAAGCCTCAAAATTAGTCTGAGGCAGGCTCCATTATTTTGGACACGCTAACTCAATTTAGAGACCCAGGAAGCACTAGTGAGTAATTACTTCGACTTACTCTGGGGAATAGTTATTTCAAAATAACAGCACTGGAGTATTCACAGTAATGCTATTTTGAAATAACTATTTTGAAATAAGCATTATTCCCCGAGGAAAGCAGGAGTACAGATTTTGAAATAACCATCCTGTTATTTCCAAATAATGGGCTTGGTAGTGTGGACATTCTGCTTGTTATTTTAAAATAAGGGGGATTATTTCAAAATAACTCCCTAGCGTTGACCAGGGCTGGGTGGGTGGGTGAATGAGTGAGTATCTTTTCCTTTTTATCTTCCAAAATGCTGCCTGTTAAAGGGCATCATTCACAGATCATCTTCTGCCATTCCACAGCCCTTGCAATCATTAAAATGGAGGAAATTATTTCTGTAGCATGGAATCTTCCATTCCTTTTTTCCAACCATGTATAAATCTCAGTCAGCTCTATCAAAGTAATAAAATTCTCAGTGAGACTGTCACTGAGGAGAAATCTAAATGTTGTGGCCGTTGCTTGGCTGCACCAGGACCTCTGATGTTTGTCCAGTAGTCATTTAGCTGACATTTTTGCTGGCTTTGTCCTTGAATTTTATGTGGAGTTGATTTCAATTTAGCTTGCTTACAGGGTCTCATATGTTAGATCTTTTTTGTTAACATTGACTTGTTAAAACACAGGTGTAATACCCATATGTATACACATTCATATACATATTTCTCTCTGCATTGAAAATGCTTCAAATCATATTAGAACAGTATATATGCACATAGAAGCATATCCACACACTTCTGATTTCTAAATCTCCATTTTCCACTTTTAAACAGAAAGCGCCACAGCTCTAGATAAACACAGTCACTATTTCCTTTTTTTAATGTTTGCAAGTAGGTTTTGTTTGATTACGAGATCTTTAGGTCTAGGAGTTCATTTTATTATCAAATCACTAGCAAGCCCCATGAAATATATTGCAAAGAATATTTATGGAATCAAAAACCAGAAATTCTGGTTTGTTAAACTGCAAAAGTATTGTATTGTTTCTGTATGGAATAAAAACTCCCTGTTGCTCAGTGCCCTAGAACAAGATGTGTGTTGTATTGCATAGTTCAGTGATCATCTAGAAACATAGAATTCAACTTGTAAGCAAAGTTAATGCTAGTGGAGTTTCTTATAATAGAAGTTCAAAATCCCATAACTTTTGAAAAACAGGTCTCAAAAATATAACTCAAGATAGTGGATCAAACTCTGCTATTGTTTATCTAAATACAAATCCTGTGACTTCTGTGGAGTTGCATGTATGTAAATGGAGAACAGAATTTAATCCTCTACTGTACAACTATGGGGAAACATGTGTATGGTTTTTAAAAATATTAAATGTATTACATTTATAAAAAAGTTGAAGTTATTTATTAGCATTTCTAATATACCTACTGTCATTGTGATTGAGGTTTGTATTTATATTTAGATAGTAAATACTTATTTTGACTTTAGATGTATTTGTAACATTTTTCAGAGACTAGTCTTAAGGTTGCCATATTGCTCTCCCTTTTTAGCTCTTAGCATGATAGATTAACTGCTTGCTGTGCATCCTTTTAATATAATCTATTTTGTTCACTGAGGATCTGATCCTGCTCTGTTTGAGTTCATTAGGAGTTTGCCATTAACTTCACCAGAGCACCAGGGTCAGGCCCTGGACTGCTTTCTGCTGTGGTCCAATTGGACTGACCCAAGTCATGTTACTGTATGTACTTATGGAGGAGTTCTAAATGTATTTATATATTTCTGGCATCATTGCTAAAACTGCATAATTTAACATGCCCTCCTGTGCTGTTCCTTTTGCTGCTGTAACATGAAGATGTCATGATGATAATGAGGCTATTGTGGAGTGATGCTCAATGCCAGTGTTTTTCCTTTGGGAACTGACTTGACCTGACATTTTTATTTTTATGGTGTCTCATAAAAATGACAGTTGTGAGAGAGGAAAGGCTTTTAAAAGCATGAGCCTGATGGAAAAGATATGGAACCATGTGAACATTTACAATCAACAGGATGGGAATAGGGAAGTAGGACCTAATACACCACTCCAGCAGGGGTGCTTCAACTAGGGATGTTGGGCTACAGCAGCACCCCCTAACTAGAGGTATTTTCTATCATATACTGGGTTTACAGTTTTGTTCAATGGCTTTCTGCACCTACACTATAAGAATTATTCCAATGCCATTGCACTCCATCTTAGAGCACCACCAAATTTTAGGAAAGTTTTACAACTGAACCTAGATCTGGATCCAAATGTTGTGAATGGTCCATCTTTATAATGAAAGTAATGAAAGCTTCAGTTACATATGATCCCTAAAAATTTGAATATTTAAATTAGGATCTGTATTTTGTGGATTGACACTCTCTCTCTTTCTCCCTCACTCCCTCCTTCCCTCCCTTTCTCTCTCTCTCTCTCTCTCTCTCCTCCTTTCCTCCCTTTCTCTCTCTCTCTCTCTCTCTCTCGTGCGTGTGTGTGTGTGTATTAAAATATACAGAGAGAGAGAGAGAACCATCAGAACCATGACCTGGAATGGTTCCTGGATTTTCCCAGGCTGGTGAACCGTAGCCAGAGAGCATCACATCCTAGATTTAATATCAAACTAATCCAGAACAAAGCAATTCAATTAAGATTTTGTCTATAGACATTTATTTTTTTTCTTTTATTTTCCATCAAAAATATGATTTTTCCCCATGGTATGTTGTAGAATTCTCCCAAGTTGCTGTGGTTCAGCTTCATGTGAGGGGGTGAGGTAAAATATTGTAGTTCTCTAACTAAGGGGCCTAACATTTGTTACTTACTGTTCAAAGCAGTGGATCAAATATATATTTAAGTGTCTTGTCCAGAAAAGGGAATTTTAACTTCTAGGATAGAATAGCAATTTATATTTCTTTCTTTTTTGTTTGAGGACAGCTGTTTCTTTCCAGTGAGCAGTTGGAAGTGTTATCTTTATTCACTAAGAAACAGCAAGTTTTTTAAAAGAGTAGTTTAAATGTATTCTCTGATATTGTTTTCCTGACATTTTGTTAACTACAGTAAATCCCAGCAGATGACATCCTAGTTTACATTTCAGTTCTTTCACCATAAATCTTGGAAAGCCTCTTGATCTTATATTATGGAGTTGTCAGCAGTAACTCCATAGTTAATGGTGCGTTCAGTTTTAAAGTTGGGATTTCAGGTTGTCATTAATTAAAGCAAATATTTGCCATTTGTGGAAAGTCACAAGTAAACATTTTTAACAATTTAAGATTTTAAAGTTTTAACATAATTCCCTTTCAGAAAGTAAGGACACGTATCTAGCATGCTTTTATATTCCTGTACCTAACAATTGCCTTTTTTTAAATATTTTTACATTTAACATGTAGGGGTTAATTTAAAACAAATGAAAACAGCAAATAATTAGAAGTCTTCATCACTATTATGATTTTATGCCATAGAAGCAAATGGATAAAAATGAAAAGCTAACATTTAAAAAAAATGCAGGTATCTTGCCAACATAGAAAATGTTAAAGACACTTTGAATAAGGAAAACTGAATACCGGTAGGTTTGTACAGAAAGGCTCTGCAATGTTAAAATTAATGGGAGCTTGGGGTAGAGGCTGTGTTTAGAGCCCCCTAGCTACTGCTAAGCATAGGAACCAGAACGGGAACATGCTTCCCAGGAGCCACACAATGTGAATGTTCAGCCAGCTCTGCCGCACAGCACTCACAAAAGGCAGTCAACAGCAGTGCTGACCAAAGCCACCAGGATCCCTTTTTGACCAGGTATTCTGGTTGAAAACCTAATACCTAATCACCGTAATAAAGGGTCTCTGAGCCAAAACTCATTTATTTCCTGGCCTTTATATGATTTTTTGCACTCTAGCAACAACATTACTACTTCTTCTGTTCGAATGCCCAGCTTCCTTCTCCTGTTCTGTTCCTCTGCTTCCCTTTCTCAATTTTTCCTCTTCTCCTTTTACTCTACCCTTTTCTTTCCCTTCTGTTTTCCTTTTATTTGTTCTTTGAGGCTGGCTTTTTAAATTTTACTTTAAACTGAAAATTCGAACATTTGTTTTACAAGACACAGCAGCATGCTCTTCTTGCTCTGTTTGTTCTTCACTCTCTTCTTGTGTTATCTCTGGCCTCTCATTCCTTTGATGTTACTTTTCTATCCTCCTACTCAATTCATTCTTTGCATACTTGGTTTATTTGCGTCCCCACTTCCTTCCTTGATAGTCTCTTCTCTTCCTCCCTTGCTCTCCTTCTCAATACCCAAATAACTGAGTTAAGTGACACATTTGGCTAATCTGTGTGTGTGTTTTAAACAAAATACCTGCTCAAAAAATAACACTTCTCCTGAAACAGTGAATTAATAAGTATTTTGAGCTCTGTAATATAAAATACTGTGAAGAATGCCGGAAATGTAAAGCACAGATTACTGTGGACCTTTAACTTGACTATCAGAGAGCGCAGTGTGAAATGGCTGTATAATAACTTCTCTAGAATTGAACTGACCATGAACCATAAAGACTCTCAGACATAGCTTTCTTTGTTTTTTCAATCATACAAACTATTTTCTACAAGTGTCTCTCTCTCTCTCTCTATATATAAAGTATTTTCTGTCATGCAGTAAAATTATGTCATCAGGCTCTCTGGCTGCAAAAGCAGCCGGGGGGGGGGGGGGGGATTAGCAAGCTTAGTGAGCAGTGGGCATAGCCCCTTAGTAAATGTTTTAAATATTTTTGAGGTTTTGCCATCAATTTTTATTGCACTTTAGCATTGCTAGCTGTCCTTAACTGCGACAGCAGATGATTTGCAGGTTTTGAGATTTTTGACAAAATGTGCTGTTCATTTACATTCTTTAAACATACTATAGTTGATTATTCTTCAATATTAGCACTCAAGAGTTAAAACTAGAATTCTAAGGACTGAGAAACCTCCAGACTTATTTGTATGAGTTACTTATGTGTTAAGGGAGAGAGTAGACACAGGATGAATATGCTGTCTGTTTACTTTTAATTATGGTGTGTACTATGCAGAGATAATGTAATATTTTAACAAAATTGAGTATCAAGTGACAAAAAAAGAGAAAAGATGTGGGCCATTTATTCCTACACTCTAAAAGCTTCTTAGGAACAACTTTATAAGTTTCTTAGCAAACACAAAATTTGGCCCTTTCCCACGTCACTCATGTTTAACTCCTTCATGCCCATTTCCAGAATCTCTGACTCCTGAAATGAGTGGAAAAGTTATCATTGTATTTTCTTAATTTGTACTCAGTTTGGACTGTGCTTATACAACTCCTTTAGGCTTTGATTCACTTTGACAAGTACTGTAGTACTAGCAGTACTTTATTGTTTCTGGTTTAGTATTTTGTTTGTTGTATCTCTCTCTGTTTTGTTGTGGAGTTGTACAGAAGCCAACCTTTCCTGCACTCCCTCCCACTCCAAAACAATTTCAGACATTGAGTAAAAATAGAAAATATCTGCCAGAAACTAATAAAACCTGGTAGGGTAAGTTTCACTGTCTAGTCAACGTCCCATGAAATTTTACATAAATCCCATCTTTAAGATCGGAAACAAGGACTACAAGGAAAAATCCTTAAATAGAGAGATGTTAGAGATGAGTGTCTCTCAACATATGCTCACTTGAAACCAAGGAACCTTTCTTCACCCCACCCTAGAAGTGTTTTACCTATTAGCATGGCCAGTGTGTCCTATTTAGTTCTCCTAGCTTCCTAGGAGACTACAAGGAAATTATGAATCTTGAAGTGGAAATAATTCAGGACCTGAGTGGATTATTTGATTTGTCCCGCACAAAAACTGCTTGATTACTTTTTGCAGCTGTCAGATTATAGACAGCATCTCTTATGGAGTTGTTTTGGCCTTTCATGTGTTTGGAGGAAGGAAGTTAATCTCTGTGGCTCAGATTTTTGAAGGGCTTAATGCTTCTAAAACTTTCTATATGGCATCCCTAATATCATGAGATAGTTATGTTGGTCTCACAAAAGAAATGAGGCATCCTTTTGAACCACACCATAACTGTGAGCTGGAATTTTTAACACGGTTAATTTTATTCTTTATGGCAGCAACTGCAGCTCACATGGTAAGTGATAGTAAGGTTTTAGGGACTCTAATCAACTTTGCATAAAGTCCCATAAGGACACAAGGGGATGTTATTGACTCTCCTTAGATTCCTGATAAAGGTAGTATTGGACTCATACCATAATTGGTTGGTTAATCTGCCAATATTCTTCCCAATATTCGGGCTCATCCAACTAAGGCTCTGATAGTACTGTGTCATCCATTTTTGTTATGTCGAGCAGGCACAGTCTCGGTGAGAGTCCACCTGCCTTTTTCCTTCATTGATACCATTGCATATGGGACAATCTATGTCAACAAGGAATGTGTCCAAATGGCTTTCTGAACTCCATGGCTCATCATTATGCTTTGGCAGGCTGACAATGCAATTCCAAAGTCACTTTAAGCCATATTTAGTAGGAGGCAAATTGCAACTACCACCAGTTGGTTCCTATCCAAGAGAGTTGTAAGGCAGCCACATGGAGCTCTTTGCATACATTTATACAATATGACTTGGACTCAGCATCATGACAGTAATGCAAGTTACACCTAGTGATATTATAGAACCTGCTTCCAAATCAGGAGTAGTCCAATTCTACTAGCATCTTGCTTCAAATTTGTATGTCCCATTAATATATTTCTTCTGCTACTTATGTACTTAAAGTGATTTGTCACTATTTGCCATGGTTTCCCATTCTATTTCTTATATCGGTGTTTTTCAATGACATTCTTGGAGCTTTTTAATATCCCCACAGTGGTCATTTATTACACCAGGTACCTTTCGGAGAAAAAAGATAATTACTCTGTTTTTATTCTTGTTCTCTGAAGATATATAGTTACATTGGATTACTAATCACTCTGACACATTCTTTCAGAGTGGGAGAGAAGATTTTTTTTCTCTTATCCCATTTTGTCTTTCTGTTTTGTCCTGTTTATTTCACTGTGGACTGATGATAGGCAATTACAAGCTATTAAAAGTCTATACAGGCAAATTAACCTCTCCTGTTAGCTCATGATCTACTTATTTAAAACTTAGAAGGCAAATCCAAGCTAACATATTTAACCAGTTATGAGCTTTCTAAACTCCATAGCTCTAGTGTTTCTCTGTGGCACCTAAAAATCTGCGGGCCTAAATATTATGGGCCTAAGTATCATGGGCAGTTGGAAAAAAGCATCTCCTTACTATACTCTGTGATAAATTGGTCAAGAGGTCCATCAGCAACAAAAGAAACATGACACTTCCAGATGCCATTTTTGAAGAGTAACCACACTTTGTAAGTCAACTTTTCCGTGTGTGAGCTCCTCCTTAAAAAACAAGGATATGTTTATTCTCTTAATTGCTTGCTTGTTTAGCAAACTTGTTTTGTATTTGGAATTCTCTATGATGACTTCAGTTCTTTTTCTGACCATTTTTTCCCACCTTGTACATAACGTGTTTTATTTCACACACAATTTATTTTTTGCCCCAGCTCACATAAGCTGTTTCAGTAGGTATAATAGCCTTTATTTACACTATAATTATTAGGAGTAGCATTACTGTAAGCCAGTGGTTCTCAACCAGGGGCACGTGTATCTCTGGTGACACAGAGGTCTTCCAGGGGGTACATCATTACAACAGGCTACGTTAAAAAGCATTAGCAAAGTTAGTACAAACTAAAATTTCATAAAGATAGTGACTTGTTTATTCTCTTCTGTATATGCTAAAATGTAAATGCAGTGTTTATATTCTAGTTAATTCATTTTACAGTTACATGGTAAAAATGAGAAAGTAAGTGCTGTGAAAATTTTGTATTTCTGAGTGTGATTTTGTAAGCAAGAAGTTTTTAAGTGAGGTGAAACTTGGGGGTACTCAAGACAAGTCAGACTCCTAAAAGGGGTACAGTAGTTCAGAAAAGTTGAGAGCCACCGCAGTAAGCTGTTAAACAAGTGTCAATCGTCCACTTGTAAAATGGCAGTATTTCTTTGGTTTGTATGTTGTTTCTTTGTATATAGTTTTTGAGGAACTTTTAAATAATGTAGGATACAGGCACTGTGTAAAATATCAGCTGATGATATAAGCATACTATAATATACTTTTGTGTGTGTGTGTAGTATCTATTTCTTTCTTAGAACAGCTACATCAACTAACTTATCAAGTTCAGTAATTAAAGCAAAAGATATTACTGTGCCAAGTACTACAATGGTAATTTAAACTATTTCAACACAAATATTGAACAATAGAAATAAATAGGTGGTAACACTGTATAACTTTCCCCTTTAGTGCCAGGTCAACCGCTGAACTTCAAAGCAGAACCTGAATCTGAAACAAGCATATTACTTTCTTGGACCCCTCCCCGCTCTGACACCATTTCCAGCTATGAACTGGTTTACAAAGATGGGGACCAGGGTGAAGAGGTAAATCAAAATGTTACTCACCTTTTGTATTTCTTTAATGGAGTAAGGCATGAAAGGCTGTAATGGTTTAGAAATACAAGCTTAGCTGGTTTCCTAGAACGTTGACATTAAATGGTTTGTTAAACAGAGCAACCAGCTTGATGGCAGATTCTGAGCACTTTGTACCAGCAGGTTCTGTGGCTATTGTCCAAGAAAAACTTTATGGATGTGGATGGAAAGACAGGCATGAAGGTTGCTCCTGTACCAAAGGGGTAATGACGGTGGAGACTGTCTAAGCCTGCACTGCAGTCATAGGCTTTGCCCAGCTCCTAGGAATGACACAGGAAGAATCCCAGCCTCTTTGTGGGGCCAGGATTTCACCCATAATGAATAACTGTTTCTGTTAGTCAACAACTAGGGATCTTTTAAAAAGTGATTGTTACTTTTTAGTGTGCTTTGGGAAGAAAATATATTTTCTAATCATAACATTCTTCTCTTAGATGTTGTTTGCTCTTTATGAACAACTAGCATTTAAAATGTTTCTTTGGGTTTGATTTTTAAATCAATCTTTAAAAAAAAAGTCTCTTCTTATTTTTTCTGTTCAATTGAATAAAGCTGATTTCCGATGCAAAGAATGAGAGTGTTGGTCTCAGGAGACTGTAGGAGAGTGCTAGACTTGTCAGTGCCCTCCTGCATCATCATCTTCTTGCTGTTTTGGGAATACAGCAAACGCTGGTTACTGCTACTTCACTGAGTTTAGGTTTTTTGAAGTTTTTCACATGTACTGAAGACATGTAAGCATGCACTCAGCAGCTAATAAGACTGCTATAGGAGAGTTCCAGATCTTTTAATTCCACATGTGATATATACCCCTATCTGAACATGCACTATGACTGATAACAGATGCTTGATAAGATTTATACCGCTAGAAGAATTTGCTTTCTAAGATTTTGCATGTACATTTAACAATAGGCTAATCTTAAATCCAAGATCACCCATCCCATAAAAGTACCATTTCCTAGGAATGATGAGTACACATAGGTAAGTAGATCAGACTCTATTCATCCATCAGTATCCAGTTGTGCTTTTAAATTTCAAATACAATTATTTGAGTCCCTTTACACCATCAAACAAAATTTTTCCATGGCAGAATGATCCATTGAACTACTTTTTTATAAAAAAAATTCATTCTGCATTTATTTATGTATGTAGGTAATAGATTCACTTTCCTTTTATTGTTTGGTTAAGTTGCTTTGTTTAAAATACTACGTTCACATTTTTTAACAGAGCTTTAAACAAATTATCTTATCAATGAGATTATCAGTGTCTGAAAGGGGCTCTTCTCCTGAGACAATGTTCTGAGTAACTACCTTTGGATCTTTATTAAGACTTCCAGTTCTCTTATTGTTCACCTTTAGCAACGTGTTTCGGTTGAGCCAACAACATCTTACCGCCTGCAAAGCCTGAAGCCAAACAGCTTGTATTACTTCCGTCTGGCTGCCCGCTCTCCACAAGGCCTGGGTGCTTCAACTGCAGAAATCTCAGCAAGAACCATGCAGTCAAGTAGGTGTCTTTCCTTGCTTGCTGTATTGTGCTCTTTGGGCCTGCTGTGCAGTTACCACCAGAAAAGCCAATAAGACAGTGGTAGGAAGTAAGAGTCTCAGTTACATGACAGCGGGACAGTGCTTCAGAGATATATTTACAATAGATAAGCTTAGGAGAATTGCTTTTGAATTATTATTAGCTTTTGCATATTCTTAGGAGAAGAAGCAGAACATCTTCGAAATGTCTCAAGAGACAGCGCTATGATAATATCAGCATAGCGTCTAGGTGCACCACGAGGCATGTTCCTCCATGCATGGCATGCCTCCTATGTAGTCCTGAAGCCTTAAAATTCCTTAAAAATGTCCTGCCTGGTTATTTCCTGGTCCACAGGATGAATTCCATAAATTATTTTCCTTTCATCCGAACACTCCCTTCCTCCAGAACATATATATTGAAAGGTTCCAGGACTTTATGAACTAATAGGCATGCTGGTAATTATGGTTATTCTTCTAATTTTTGGCTAATGGATTTTTTACCAGTCATATAAAGGTGGACAGCTTAGTATTTACATGCACACAAGCTATTGTCTGTTCATGTAAATAATGTGAGTTATTTGTAGGGCTTATCTGAAAAAATCTGATGGGGGTTCATATTGAAATTTAAACTATGTAAATTAAACCTTATCTAAAGGGATTTTCTTCAGCTACTGGAGAATTGTATCTCAAAGAGTTGATATAATAAGCTGAAATTTACTTTGCGTAATTCTTTAGTTTCATAGATACATTTTCAAACTATATTCCATCATGCATTTAAATTATCTATAGGCAGATTGGTTCATTACTTTTAGTGATGTAAGGTTATTTAAACCAATAATGCAAAGCCTCATTGAAATTCTGCTTTGAGCTGTCAGCTCTGGTTATTGTATTTATACTGTCACGCTTTGGTAGTGTTTGATGAGTAACAATTAAGGTACCTGCAGAACTATTACTCTAGAGTTTGAGTTTTATGAGTAATGTGAACTTCCTGAGGCACATCTGTGGCATTTTAAATAAACAAAAGGACCCAATTATTGTGTCATTTGTGCAGCCCTTATCTAAGAATCAGGAATGACATCATGGAGCACTGCCATTTTAATTATGCAAAATCAGTATTTTGATATAGAATAAAAAATACTTTCTTTTCATGTTGACCATTTCAGTTACACATGAGAGCATAAACATCATAAAAAATAGGTGGGAATTATTTTAAGTATGGCTACAGGTTAAATATTTAAGGCTCAATCTTGTATTCTGTCCACACTCAAAATTGTCATTTTCATTTCCTAGTTATGTAAGAATAAAATAAATAGGACAGGGCCAGAAAGATGGCATTACATTGTGTCTAGCCTTCTTTTTATTTTACATATTCTGACAACACGTGACAAGGCACAAAGGTTTATTAACAGAAAGTAGTCAGATTTTTGCAAGAGATGTGTGCAATCCTGAAATCAATGTCAAACTTCTGATGTATTTCCAGGATCAGACCTAACAGATTTGCTTATTAGCTTGCAGATGATGTAAAAATCAGCTTGAAATGTAAAGGAGAAAATACATTTTAAAACCAATTACATAGGATAAAATAGTTTGCATTTTTATTATTGTAATGATTTTTAAAATATTAGAAATCTCTTGGGTACAGTTGAAATATCCTCCGTTTTTTGTAATCTTCAGTTTTAGTTTCAGAGAAAGGTTTTACAGGGTACGATATCCTGAAGCAGTCTTTTCACTTCCTTTTTTACTTCCTGCTCATATCCATGCACAGTAACATAATGACCAGTATATAATGAGTACTTGATCTGTGTCTTGATCATTCACACTTAAAAAAAACAAAAGCTAATCTATCCCTCTAAACATCTGCATGCTGGTACATTCTCACTTTTTTTCCCCTGGGAAGGGCAGAATACCTCAATGAGGAACATCTATTGATCAATATAGACGATTAATGGGGAACCGAAAGATACCGAAAGATGTGTAACTGTAATAGGTCATGACAGGGTCCTATAACTCTTAAGTGTTTAATTATATTTTATGTGCCAATGTAACCCACATGCCTTCTGGGTGTGGTGTTCTGGCCCACTTAGTGGCACCAAGACCACTTACAGAGAGACTAATGCATCTGCTCTAGAACCTTAGCTAATAACCTGCTGGTTTTTAGCTCATGTTCTAAGCTCCAGAGGCCTCAAGTTTGATTCCGCTTCTCAACATTACACCAAGAAGTATGAAAAATCCATTTGTTTTTCCTTTAAGTATGTGGGGGAGAGACTAGATCACAGACACACACTTGTGGGAACACACACAATGGGCAAACTCTTCAGCTGTCATCTTAATACAAGCTGTATTTGATCTAAATGATGGGTGCTCATGTGAAGTAAGATACAATATAAATTCCGAGCTTTGTATCTTTGTTCTTTGTTTTGTTAAGGAAGTCTTTTAGTATGATTTAATAGCTATTTTGCTGACAAAATGTGCAGAGGTGCTAGTTTATTGAAATCACACACAAAAATTGCTGGTAGGATTTAATTCTTCACTAGCAAAGGTGTCTCCAAGAGGAGTTAAAAAATGTAACTGAGAGCTGATCTAGGGTAAGTACAAGTTACAGTCAGAATCAACAAGCCTGTCACTTTTTGACCTGGTAGGTAAACCTTTAACTAAGATTTTCTTCATCTTCTATTGACTTTGCATGCTTTTACATTATGTTGGCTACAATAAATGTTTGAATAAAAGCTTTCCATTTAAACATTATTTGTAGTTGACTTGATCCAGGCAGACTCAATTGTAAAAAGAAAATTGAAAATATAATCTTTCAGGGGAGGGAGAAGAGAAACACAAGGGAACTTTGAAAGGGGTTGGGAATTTCTCGAGCCATTTCTTGCAATTATTGCAAGTTCCCTGGAATATAATAAAAGGGGGGGGGGGAACTATCTAAGGAGTGTAGACTGATTTTGCAATATAGGTTGAAATTTGGCAATAAATATATACATAAATCATTTAAAATACTCTAACTTGCACTAATTGTAGACATTATAAGTGTAGATGAATAGACATATAAAAGCATCACGTTTTGTTTTTATTTGAAGAAGATTTTTAATTGCAGGTACGTAATATTATTTTGAGACTTCATTTTCATGTATTTCCCCTACATCCTTTTCCACCATTTAGTTGGTTTATTCATTTAATTTCTTCACTTTAATAAGCCAAGGTGCACATGATTATCTGATGTTTTGCTTTTTAAGTTTCTATGTTGTTGGGTTTTTTTTGCTTGGTTGCCCTTTTTATTTATTTTTATTTTTTCTTTTGTTCATGTTTTTTTTTCAACCACCCCTATCCTTTCACTCAAATCCTCCTCTAACCCACTACTGAAATTAGAGCCATCAGCTCCTCCTCAAGACATTAGTTGCACCAGCCCCAGCTCCACTAGCATTTTGGTAAGTTGGCAACCTCCACCGGTGGAAAAACAGAATGGCATTATCACAGAATATTCAATCAAGTACATTGGGATTGATGGGGAAGATGACAAGCCCCATGCAATTTTGGGAATTGCTTCAGACACTACCCAGTACCTTTTGGAAAACTTGGAAAAATGGACTGAATACCGGATCTCTGTGACAGCCCACACTGATGTCGGACCTGGCCCAGAGAGCTTATCAGTATTGATTCGCACAGATGAAGATGGTATGTTGCCTCCACTACATCAGTTTGCACCTCTATGACTCTCTCTCGATCTGCTGTCTTTGTATAGGCTAACAGTATTCCTTTTTATTTTTCTTCCTGTTCCTTTTTTTCTCAAAATTACTGATACTGTCACCATTTGATTCTTTTTCTCAAAGGCCTGCCTTTGCTACATCAGTTTTGAATTTTTCTTTAAACACAAGATATCTTTTTTGTGAGCAAATTGATGCTGCTGCCCCTTCAAACCTCTCCCCCAGTTCCTCCCCCTCCTTCCCCCCATCTAGATTTGCATTTTTCTTGTGTTTTTTTTTTAACTCTTCTGTCTTCTGAGCTTATATTTTTGATTTTTTAAAATTTCCTTCTTGTTCTTTGGTACATTTAAAACATCTTTTGGAAAACTGATGCTCTGCATATTTTTATTTTAAACATCTAGGTTGTCAATTGTCTTCCATGTCCGAATATAAAAGAAGATGTCCCAATTATCAACACCTTTTTATTCCACTGCAAAAAACAAAAACAAAAAGAAAGGTTTTTTTTAATCTTTTGTTTTTTTATTATTATTTCAATTACAAAATATCTCTTTGTACTTTAATGCTTTGAATTTCAAAGCATCTTCCTTGGCTTTTGTACATTTTTACATGTTTTTCTATTTCTCTAGTACTCTTTTTTCTTCCATTTTTTGCATCAGTCATGTTTTTTGATCTTTTCACTGAAAGGTAGAGCAGATTGGTTGACCATTTTCATTTGTTGAACAATTTATATTCTTCAAAGAAAACGTAGTGGGTCTGCCCTTAAAGAGAGAGAGAGAGAAAAAGAAAGAAAGAAAAAGACTCTAAATGGGTGGGACAGGTGCCTGTAATTCTGTTTTATCCAATGATGTTGTTCCAGTTCCTAGTGGTCCTCCTCGCAAAGTCGAGGTAGAGGCTGTCAACTCTACATCTGTTAAAGTGTCATGGCGCTCACCTGTACCCAATAAGCAGCATGGTCAGATCCGAGGATACCAGGTTCATTATGTGAGGATGGAAAATGGAGAGCCAAGGGGTCAACCCATGCTGAAGGATGTCATGCTGGCTGATGCACAGGTAACTAGATTATTTTCTATTATGTTTATAGGCCACAGTAAAAATGCTACATAGACAAAATAAATATAAATAACTACCTGCTTTTTTTTTCCTCTTCCCTTTGGCCCACAAGCTGACATGTCTTATTTTCATTTTAAAAGGTTCTCCAGGATGGGATATTTTACAGTGTCTTGGGCCAAATTTAGGCAGCCTGTGCATGCAAACATGGGAAAAGCACCAGCTAAGTTTAACACGACTCTTTGTAACCATCTGAAGGCTCCCCTACTCTCAAATACTTCATGGTTGGCATGTCCTCTAGAAGAGTGCCAAAGGGCATCTGGGCAGGTGCCTTTTAGCACGGGTTCTGCCTGATTTGGCTACTAGATATTTTACACATATAGCTCCTATTCCTGGCAGGAATAATCTTTTCAATGAATCAGAACCACAAGTAGGCAGATTAGAAGCCCAATTTAGTGCATTCAATACTTCTTTGAAAGCATTAGCATGTAGCCATCCCACCACACTTACCAAACGAGTCCTGACTATTATGTCATAGTTGTAGAACTTTAAATAACTCAATACATCATTCAAATCTATAACTATCAAGCAAAATGAAAAGTCTGTTTTTAAAATTTAAGGTTGGTCCAAGTGCCAAATGCAGGTGCTGAGAAAGTGGTTCGATCAGTTTTACAATTTATGGCATATGACAGAGAAAACTCTGTTCGGGGGCACGCATTTGATTACATCAAGATCAAAAAAACTTTCTAATGTTAAGATTCTAATGATGGGACTATACTTGTGTTTTGTTGGCTTGGAGATTACCACTGATACCTAAGGGAAAGCTATAAATGTTTGTACACCTCTCACTTCCCAGGCTTGCTTTGTACATGAATAATGGGAAGCCATCAACTATAAATCACCTTAATTGAAAATAAACAGTTAAATCTTAAAGAGTTCTGTAGTTCATGTTACATCCGATTCAATAGATAACTTGCAGCTCTTCCTCTCTCAATATATGTATATGAGCATAGGCGTGAGCAGCACATTTCATTGGGGTGTGCACCCAAATAATTTTTTTAAATGTACTTTGACCCCCATTAGCCACACCCCTGACCCCTGTTAACCACGCCCCTGACCCCCCATTAGCCACACCTCTGGAGGAAACACTCTTCAGGCAAGATGGACACATGACCAGAAGTAAAAGGTGTCATGTGACACCCCCCCAAGGACTTTTCCCGCCATCCTCCTACCAATAGGGATTAGTTTTCCTCCCCCCACATCCCTCGTCATGCAACTATCCTGCAATTGTATTACCACAATGTGTGTGACATTAACTCGAGGGTAGAGATGTTGGGGGAAGTGTTCCCTCTTAAGAGCTTCCTCCCATGAGCAGAATGAATTTTGTGTTGTGCTGCACCAGTACTGAGTTCATGTGGCTTGTTTGGATGTGCCACTGTGGCACCCAACTTATTAATAAATATCTCATAAACCTCTACCTTTTCCCTCTGCTGCCATGTCTCCTCCCCTTGCTTCATCAGCTCCCCTGGTGCCTGCAGCCCCCAAATCTCTCACCCTTCTCTGCTGTCCTGACTCCTGCCTTTCTCACTGCTCTCAGCCTTCCTGAGACCTGCCCCCCTCCACCAGCCCTTCTCTCCCCCCTGTGCCCACTCCTCCAGTAGCCCCATTCTGATCATGTGAGCTACCCCTCCTCATCCCCTCTCCTAACACCCCCTTCTACACACCTGCCCTGCCTTTCTCCTCTGGTGCTGGTCCCTCTCCTGCAGGTGTCTGCCCTTCTGCTTCACCCCCAGAGTCCCCTGGCACCTGCACCTTCCCTTAGCCCTGCACTCTCCTGGTGCCTCCCCCTTCCCTTACTGCCCCTGTCCCCTTTGCCCTCTTTTTCCCTAATACCCACCCCCTCAGCACTTTCTGCCCCGTCCCCTCCTGCCCCTCTGTGCCCTCATACTCTCACCACTCTCTTCCCCCATTCCCTTCATGTCTCTGTGTCCTCACACATGCCTTGCTCCATCCCTGCCTTCCTTATGCCTACCCCTTCTTTCAAGCCTTCTCCCAGCACCTCCCTCTCCCCCCCAACACTCAATGCCCTTACCCTCTCCTCTCCTAGCATCACCCTGTCCCCCATCCCACTGACACCTCCCCTCCTGCCCTTTTCCTCATTGTCTCCACTTGGCCCCCTGGCATTTGTCTCACCTCTACCCTGTCCCTTGGTTCCTTCCCCTTTCTTCTCCTGATCTGCCCCCCTCCCTTCAGCACAAGTCCTTTCCTCTCCCACCCCTTCCTCTTATTTTTCCCTTTCCCCTCCCCTCCCTTACCTTCGGCTTCTGCCTTCCAATTCACGGGGCTGGAGTCAGAGCCAACCCAAGCTACAGGGCGGCCAGGCCCTAGTCCGGTGCGCCCCCGGGGCACCGTGCAGTGCTGCCAGGGACGGGCGGGGCCCGGGGTGCAAAAATGGCTCGGGGCGGCCAGCATCTGTAGTCAGGCCCAACTGCTTCTGGGCCGCGAGGTTTTAAAGTCCCGAGCCGTGATGTCATGCCACGCCCGGGCGTCTTCCCTCTCACCTGTTGTGCAGTGTTTGAGCACGCTGTGCATGTGCTCTCTCTGCCCCACAGTGCCCAGTAGATGGCCATGGGGAATTTAAAGTGAGGGGCTGTGGCGCCCCATCACAAATCCCTCTCGTCCAGCAGCCACTACCCGACCCGAGACATTAGGGTGTGCCTGGGAACATTTGGCATGCCCCGTGCACATGCCTATGCATGTGAGAAGGGAGGCACAGGTCTTTTGTTCCTTCAGTTTTGTGGACATACCTAAACAAACAGCATTGTCTCAGCTCTCAAGAGATCCATTTTATAGTTTTGCATATGTATGTGTTTGTTTATTTGGCAAAATATTGTGCTCTGACAATTTAAACAAAATGAACCATAAATGCCTGTGGTTTACTGAAAATTTGCAATTAAGTGAAAGGAAACAATAAGCCCTTGAGTTGCCTAGGGAGGTTGTGGAATCTCCATCTCTGGAGATATTTAAGAGTAGATTAGATAGACATCTATCACGTATGGTATAGATGATACTGAGTCCTGCCATGAAGGCAGGGGACTGGACTTCATGACCTCTCGAGGTCTTTTCTAGTTCTAGTGTTCTATGATTCTCTTGCCCAGATATCTGCTTCCAAGCTCTGTGTGGCTAGGTCTGACTCCATTTTAAACTGGAGTAGATGGAACTAGAGAAAGAGTGCAATGTTGGCACCAAAACATCATTCATGCCAAAGCCAAACCTGCTCATTTGAAGGTTTTCTTTAATATTCAGCTCTTAATTGTTAGTACCCCCTTGGTTCATTCTAATCCCCTCACATTTATTTCCCTGCATGTGCATTCACGAAAAACCAAATGGTAGTAATAGGGTTTCTTTACTCCATTTCAAATATGTATACACGTTCCAATTATGAATCAAAATAGAAGCACTGACATAATTTGGGCAGGTGAAATTGAAATGAAAATTAATGTTGCCTTGTATTATAGGATTAAAAAAACAGGCATCCATTTATTCTATATGGGTGGCTTCCATTAATAGTTATAAAATATGACCGAGCAATAATAGCATTCAGTATTAGGGAATATGCCGTTCTTTTACCCCAGGAAAGAACAGTTTAAAAATTAGCACCACTCCATGAATAAATACGGAATTGAAAATGCCCATCCTAATTTAATTACCCAGAGTTCCAAATAATATCTGATTTTGCCAGCCAATCTTTGAGGATTTGGGGGATTTGTTTTGTTTTGTTTTACTAAGAACAACAAAATTGCCTCAATGAGGCTACAAACCTCTCTTCATTTCTTTTGTTTTTTTCCCCAATATTCTTTACTCTCAATCAGTGGGAATATGATGATACTGCTGAACATGTGAGTAATTGTTGACTGGTCAGACAAAAAGTGTGTGTGTTTTTTTTAACCTCTTTCTATTTTGTAACTGTTTTTGTCATATGCATAAATGCATGTACTAACATACTATTGAAATTTTTCTCAGTTTTTTCTGCTTTGTTTTGTTCTGTGAGTTTGGCATGGTGCTGGAATGCACAAAATTGTTTTGTGTGTTTGTTGGTTTTGTTGGCTGTAACTAATTTTGCCTGGCAATGCAACCAAAGGAACTATGCTTTAAAAGAAAGTATTACAGAAAGAAAACAAAATAGTTTGGATTTGCGTAGTAGTTCATCACCCTTCAGGTTTTGTTGTACTCAGTGAATAGCAGAAGTGCAAATTCATCTTTTTTTTTGTTTGCAACATGCGTCTATTTTGTATACTCCACAGTTGAACCAAGGAAGCCAAATGTCCCATGGCATTTATGGCCTAAGTAATGTGCTTATTACATTCAAATTGCCTTTTTTAAAGACCCTAGTGTATGCATTTATTTATCCTTGCACATGGTAGAATACAACTTCCTGCAAATGAGGCTAGTGTGTTAATCATTATTTAAAGGAAAACCATCCTTTGTTTTGCTTTTATAGTTTTAAGTTGTCGCCATCATTTGTAATTGCCTTTTGAAAGATTGGGACAGCTCAGTGGTTTGAGCGTTGGCCTCCTAAACCCAGGGTTGTGAGTTCAATCCTTGCGGAGGCCATTAAGGGATTTGGGGCAAAAATTCATCAGGGATAGTACTTGGTCCTGCTGTGAAGGCAGGGGACTGGACTCGATCACCTTTCAAGGTCCCTTCCAGTTCTATGAGATAGGCATTCTCCATTATTATTAGAAGTTAAGGTTGAACTGCCCTGGTCCAGCACCCTCAGAACCTGACTGGTTCCAAACCAGGGAATTTGCCAAACAAGGGGAGGTCAATGCGGCAGGGGCTCTGCTTTCCCCCTGCAGTCAGGAGCTCCACTTTTTCCTCTGCAGCTCCAATGCTGCCTGGGGCTTCACTCTCCACTCTCCTGGATCTACCCTCCCCCCCAGTGTCCAGGGGCTCCACTTTCTCCCCAGCAGCTCTGCTGCCACCTGGGGCTCAGATTTCCCCCCGGTGACTCCACTTCCACCTGGAGTGCCACTCTCCCCCTGGCATTCAGGGGCTCCACTCTCTCCCAGATGGCTCCACTGACACCTAGGGCTCTGCTCTCCCCCCAGTAGCTTCGCTTTCTCCCCAGCAGCTCTGCTGCTGGCCAGGGCTTCACGATTCCCCCAGAGCCTTCCTCCACCCAGTGGTCTGCTGCAGCCCTCACCCAGGAACCAGGGGCTCCACTCTTCCCCGTTGGCTTTGCTGCTGCCCAAGGCTCTGCTCTCTCAGCCTGTTAGACTGGCAATGCTCCTGGCCCCATCCCACTGGGCTTATTCCCATGAGTGCTCCCATGGGGTTATCCTGTCGATGCCAGACCAGAGGTGTTGCTGGACTAGGGAAGTCCTAATTATGGAGTTTCAACCAGTATTTCACCCATCCCTTTTTATTGTTATCTATGCATTTGAACCTCCATACTAGGGATGTGAACGGTGAACTGGTACCCGGGAGCAGCCACCCTACCCACAACTGGCTATGGGTAGAAGGCTGCTTCAGCCCTCCAGGGATCAGCAGCATGCGGCAAGAGGGGAGCAGGAGCAAGCCCTCCCAGGTGCTGTGATGCTGGTTCCTTCTGCCGGCCTCCCAGAGTGAGGGGAGATAGGAGGAGAAGCCAGCAGCCCAGTGAAGGGGAGGGGAGACAGGAGTGGAATCCAGTTTAATCAGTTAACCAGTTGAATGTAGGGTTTAAACAGTTCACTGATTAACGGGGGATTTTACATCCCTACTCTGTTCTCTGGATGTCCCTAACTCTGCAACACCCACGGCATGGACCATGGCAGGCAAAAGAGGAAGCAGCTCTGTGCGCTGCCGCTTCCCCTTCCACTCCAGTTAGGGGAATGGCAGCATGCAAACCTGCTTCCCCTGAGGCTTTTCCTCACTGCTCCCACAGTGGCAGGGGCAGTGTCTGGGAATGACGGGGCGTGTGACGTCACCTGTGCCCCTAGGAGTGGTACAACAGATATGCCCCCCCACTTCCATCCCCTCACGCACACGCCCTACAGAGCCCTTCCTGGCCCAGCAAAATATTTAACCTGTTTCCCAGGGTTTCCGATTCAAGTGTTTCCAGTGTAATTTTGGTACTGCTAAAAAGTGAGCAAAAATATAGGACCAGATTTATGACGTGCTTGCATTTATCCTTGACACTGAAATGTGCCATTCCTTTATCAATTCTGAAATTAATTTAAGTCCACTCAGCCACCCAGAATTGAGTAGGAGGGCAAGTTAGTGGTCACAATGGAGAAAGGGAAGCCATGATACCTGTGTGACTTTGGATAAACAGACTTTTCTGTTCACCCATGAATCAGTAATAGACTAATAATGCTTATCAACTGGATTGATATATCAAGGCATATCTTTCTCTTGCTGCCTTTAGAGCAAGAAAAATGTTTTTATTTGAGATTGTGTGTGTGTGTGTGAGAGAGAGAGAGAGAGAGAGAGAGAGAGAGAGAAGTTCTCTCTTGTTTTTGCATCTGTTACATCCTGTTCTTTGTATTGATTAGGAATTGTCCCCTCTGTGGCTCCTGTACTTTGCCCAAGAGCTCTGGGGTTTGCTCTCTCAATGATGATTGGGTGATTCTTTGAGATTTTAAGGAGTTAACAATTTGTAAAGCACTTTGAGATCCCTAGACGAGCAGTGCTATAGCAACGAGTAGTGCTGTGACACTTCAGAGACTAACAAAAATATGTAGAATCATGAGCTTTTGTGGGTAAATCCCACTTCATGAAGGGATTTTTTTTTACCCATGAAAGCTTAGAAGTCTATATATTTATGTTATTCTCTAAGGTGCAACAGACTATTCATTGTTTTTAAAGTTACAGACTAACATGGCTACCCCTCTGAGTGCTGTAACAAATATAAGTAGTTGTGAAATTTATATGAAGTCAAATAGTGTTTCTAGTGTACTTTGGAATAGCTTTAGAAGTGTGAACAAAACTGGAGCTCTCTGACTTATTGCTAGTGATTTTATATCTGTCAATATTGGCCAGGTCAAACTGTGTTTCTGATTTTTATATTTGCATTAAATTTGCAATAGCAATAAGACTCTCCAGACAGTGCATTTCAGGATGATTATTGCACTGGTCACAACACACAGTCCTTGGCCATAAGCCATATAAAACTATCTGAAACATGCTACTCAGAAATGCCCTGTTTGTTTTATGTTAAAAAGTGAAACATGCTACATTACAGTGTGTCACACTTGCAAAATATTCTTCTGATCTGCTTCAGTGTGTATCTTCATTACAGGTAGCACAAAAGTGTATGCCCTTTATATGCTATGTAGCAATTGACTAGATGATTCTGTACTTTCCTAACGAAGAATTAATTTTCAATTATGTTCTTGTTTTATTTTATCTCAGGAAATGGTCATTTCTGGACTACAGCCTGAAACTACATACTCCCTCACTGTGACAGCCTATACAACAAAAGGAGACGGAGCACGTAGCAAGCCTAAACTAGTGTCTACTACTGGTGCAGGTAATACTTGGATATCCCTTCATCTCTGAATTGGCTGTGTCTCAACTTGCAGTAACTGGTATATGGAAACTCCCTAGTGCAAATGAAGGATACTGGGGAAAAAAGAAGACATTCTATAAATATATGAGAAGCAAGAGGAAGATCAAGGACAGGGTAGGCCAATTGCTCAGTGAGGAGGGAGAAACAGTAACAGGAAACTTGGAAATGGCAGAGATGCTTAATTACTTCTTTGTTTCGGTTTTCACCGAGAAGTCTGAAGGAGGAATGCCTAACATAGTGAATGTTAGTGGGAAGGGGTTAGGTTTAGAAGATAAAATTTAAAAATCACTTAGAAAAGTTAGATGTCTGCAAGTCTCCAGGGCCTGATGAAATGCATCCTAGAATACTCAAGGAGCTGATAAAGGAGGTATCTGAGCCTTTAGCTATCATCTTTGGAAAATCATGGGAGACAGGACAGCTTCCAGAAGATGAAAAGAGCAAATATAGTGCTCATCTATAAAAAGGGAAATAAGAACAACCCAGGAAACTACAGACCAGTCAGTTTAACTTCTGTGCCAGGAAAGATAATTGAGCAAGTAATTAAGGAATTCATCCGCAAACACTTGGAAGATAATAAGGTGATAGTGAACAGCCAGCATGGATTTGTAAATAACAAATCATGTCAAACCAATCTGATAGCTTTCTTTGATAGTATAATGAGCTTTGTGGATAGGGGAGAGGTGGTGGACGTGGTATACCTAGACTTTAGTAAGGCATTTGATACAGTCTCGCATGTTATTCATATCAATAAACTAGGCAAATACAACTTAGATGGGGCTACTATAAGGTGGGTGGCTGGATAACTGTTCTCAGAGAATAGTTATTAATGTTTCACAATCCTGCTGGAAAGGTATAACAAATGGGGTTCCACAGGAGTCTGTTTTGGGACCGGTTCTATTCAATATCTTCATCAATGATTTAGATATTTGCATAGAGAGTACGCTTATTAAGTTTGCAGACGATACCAAGTTGGGAGGGGTTGCAACCACTTTGGAGGACAGGGTCATAGTTCAAAGTGATCTGGAAAAACTGGAGAAATGGTCTGAGGTAAACAGGATGGGCTACGTCTACACTGGCCCCTTTTCCGGAAGGGGCATGTAAATTTCATGAATCGTCGTAGGGAAATCCGCGGGGGATTTAAATATCCCCCGCGGCATTTAAATAAAAATGTCCGCCGCTTTTTTCCGGCTTTTAAAAAAGCCGGAAAAGAGCGTCTACACTGGCCCCGATCCTCCGGAAAAAGTGCCCTTTTCCGGAGGGTCTTATTCCTACTTATTTAAATCCCCCGTGGATTTCCCTACGACGATTCATGAAATTTACATGCCCCTTCCAGAAAAGGGGCCAGTGTAGACGTAGCCGATGAAGTTTAATAAGGACAAATGCAGAGTGCTTCACTTAGGAAGGAACAATCAGTTTCACACATGCAGAATGGGAAGTAACAGTCTAGGAAGGAGTACAGCAGGAAGGGATCTAAGGGTTATAGTGGACCACAAGCTAAATATGAGTCAACAGTGTGGTGCCAAAAAAGCAGATATGATTCTAGGATGCATTAACAGCTGTATTGTGAGCATGACATGAGAAGTCATTCTTCTGCTCTACTCTGCGCTGATTAGTCCTCAATTGGCATATTGTGCCCAGTTCTGGGTGCCACATTTCAAGGAAGATGTGGAGAAATTGGAGAGGGTCCAGAGAAGAGCAGCAAGAATGATTAAAGGTTTAGAGAACATGACCTATGAAGGAAGGCTGAAAGAATTGAGCTTGTTTAGTTTGGAAAGAAGAAGACTGAGATGGGACATGATAACAATTTTCAGGTATCTAAAAGGGTGTCACAAGGAGGAGGGAGGAAAATTGTTCTTCCTGGCCTCTGAGGATAGAACAAGAAGCAATGGGCTTAAATTGCAGCCAGGGAGGTTTTGGTTCAACATTGCGAAAAAATTCCTGTCAGGGTGGTTAAACACTGGAATACATTGCCTAGGGAGGTTGTGGAATCTCCATCTGTGGAGATATTTAAGAGTAGGTTAGATAAATGTCTATCAGGGATGGTCTAGACAGTACTGGGTCCTGCCATGAGGACAGGGGACTGGACTCGATGACCTCTCGAGGCCCCTTCCAGTCCTAGTATTCTGTGAAGTATATCTATGAAGAATTTGATTTGCGAGCAGATGGAACTTTTTTGATTTGAACCAAAAAATGGGACCAGTTCTCATCCTAGTCCCTATCTAAATTTATGATGTAGCAGAAAAATACTGTTTGAACCATAAACTTCCTGTTAGTTATTCTCTTTCCTCCACCCCACAATATATTTTGCAAGAAAGGGGAAAATCAGTCAGTGACAAAATGAGGATTGTTCTTACAGATGCCAAAGAATCAAAGTGGACTGCAGGAAGCAGGAGCAAAAAGTATTCTCCAAATGGACAGCACCCTGCTCCCCTTCCCCAAAAATAGTTTTTGAGGAATTAGACATTTAGAATTTAATTCCCTGTAGTAATGGAGAGATGGCACTATTACTTCCCTTACAAATGTTCATTTTCTTCAGTTTTAAAACATGGCCATAAAAATACCTATCAGGATAAATTACTGTATAACAGCTCTCTAACATGATCATAAGCTATCACAACACTAATCAATGGATTATGTAAATCTGGGAAGTCAAAAAGTTTGTATGTTGTAACTACCCATGCCAAAATTTTCAAAGAAGTTTAGTGGATTTAGATACACATCTTCAAGTAATTTCAGTGGAAAATACAGCTATATTCTCCTAGATTCTTTAGGAAAATCTCAAATGTAATGACTAGGTGAATCATTCTGTCTTCCCCAGTACCTTCCCTTCTCATCACTAACATGCTGAATATATTTTATTTAGATCCCCCTCTCCAATGAACTCTTCCAGTTAAGACAAAGCACGACTCATTCCTGGGCCCCTTTTGGTTCTGCCTTAGGAAAAGCAAAACTTGACCCACAGTGTTTTCCAAAACTCAGTTCCCAGCAATAATAAACACATTCCTTTCAATGTTATTTTGATCAATCGAATTAATTCCAGTCTCTAACCATAGTTGTAGGATATGGAATGACACAAGCAAAACTTCCATCTTCAGTGGATGGTGTCTTCATTGATCATAGAAAAGCAATATCAACATTGATAGACCCAAATTTTCTGTCCCACTCCTTTATTAAAACAAAACAGAACTCCCTAGGTAGTCGAAAAAATCTATAAACTCTCCACAACAAAGGTTGTAATGAAATTCCACTACTCTGACTTATATCACTGGTGTGCTGTTATACAGAATACACAGTTTGTCTTGTACCTTTACTCTACTAGATGCCATGGCTAATTGGTAAATATCCACACCTACCAGCACACAAACAGGAACTTAACATTTTGCTGCTCTATCCACTGTGTTAGACCTGGCTATGGTTTATATCTGTAGTAGAGAAGATTCTTGTATAGGCATTTAGAAAAGGGAATGATGAGCATACTACAGACAGATTTCAGACCCTGCCTTCAGATGTACAGACAGATTTCAAATTCTGCCTTTTAACAAGAATGGAGCAGGCAGATGGAGGAATGATGCACTTACACTTTTCCAAACTCACACACCAAAGCAAATCTAATAATTCCAATTTGAGGCCTGTCAACTTCTGACAGCTTTCATTTAATTGGGTGTTTCTACAAAGGAACTGTCGAAAATTACTACAAAACAAATTAAGAGCCTGACTTGCTATTCTCATTTTCCCTTGCTTTAAAAGAGATATATTCGTTAAATTCAGTTCAATTACATCTCTTTAAAACAGTGTTCATGGGAGGAAAATCAGACTCTATATATTTTCCAGTGACAACTCGCTATGTTAAAAATCAGTTGGTGATAATTAACTGTTTTACTGTATCTATTTAGTATTTTAAAAATAGTTTATATTTATATACAGGGAAGACTGGCCAAGTGTGAGCTTCCATTAACCTCAGTTGATAGAGGGTAATGATATTTGACTGAGGTCTCCATTCAAGAATGTACTTTCCATACCATATTCAGATTCCTGGCTTATAGTCATTTTTAGTATCAACAATCATATTTCTATAAAGTCTTTATTCAAACTTGCTACTGTCACAAGTAAAATTATTTAAATATTTCTCCATTAGAAGACTTAACTGGCGTTACCCAGGTCTGGGGTGGGAGAGAGGCTGTGCACCTTGGCTGCTGGACCAGAGCAGGGGAGGGGCTGTCAGCTGCTTTCCAGTGCCAGACAGTGGTGGGAGGCACAGAGGAGACCCAGGAATGGGGAGAGGGATTGCACAAGCTCAGTGGCAAGGCGAGCTGCAGAAGCTACCCACCTGCATTCCCTGGGGCAGGCCCGGGAGCAGCAAGGGCTGTGAAATGGCCAAAAGCTACTCCCTGGGGCAGGCTGGGGTGTTGGCTGCTGCCAGCCAGTGGCTTCCTGCTGGGGTATTTGTTGCCCACTTGTGGTCATTCCATGCAATAACACCCTCCTACCAGACCCCCTTCTTTCTATTTTATGAAAAACTGTCAAGTTCCAGGCATATCCTATTGTCCTGGTGCAAACAAACCTTGACCTTGCTTTAAATTGATATAAGATGAAGCTCAAGGGTGGAATTTTGGGATGGCAGGCGGGACACCAGCTGTGCACTCCAGGACACAGCTTGCTTTCCATCACTTTCCCCCAGACTATCAGGGAATGAAGGGAAAGTACTTGGATTCTGTACATGCCTCTCACACCAGATTGGTGAACTCCCTTCAGTTAAGAAAAGTTAGCCACATTCCGGGGCACACAGCTGCTACCTTCCCCCCCCCCCCCCCCCCGGCCACACACATCCCGCTCCTGAAACTCTGCCCCTGATGAAGCTACATACCAAATATGGTGGTCTTAGCTCTTAAAGTTTAGGAGGAGTGCTTGAACAAATGGGCTCTCAGACAGACAGATGCTCTTTTGTTTAATATATGGATAGA